ATATTAAAATCAGTGACCACAGTTGGAGATTAGCTGTTGAACAAAATTTAAAAGCTTTCATTTATAGAGCCAGCTTAAAGTGTCATGGCAGTGGTTTAGGGAACTACTTGCCGTACTTGATTAGTACACCAAAGGTAAGGTGACTGACTTGTGCATTTGAAACATTTAGTATCTACATTATCTATAGTTGTTGTGATGATTGTTCATGTCCCCTGTCCTAAAACTGCTAGGTCATACTGGGCTAAAACTATAATGTGAATATATAACATGTCAACAAACTGGAAAGACTAGGATTTTAGTACTTCTGTGCTTTACATGGCAAAATCACAATCAACAAAAATGTGTTCAGCAGAAAAAAACCCAAAAATCATCTTTTATTGCAGATTTGCAACATTTGAAATGCTTTGTTTAGCAGGCAATGAAAGCGTGTAAAAGCTTTAATTGACAAGCATTTGGATTATCAATCTTAAGATGACATTTACCCTTCAAACAGACTTGTGTACAGAGCTACATCGAGAAAGAAGTAATCATGCGTAGATAAACACGCTCACAGTCATCATTTATTCACACAAATCTGTTATTCAGCAGGAAACAAGGGAAGAAATTGCAATCCAGATAGAAAGAGGAGGGAGAGAAATGATAGCAGCATAAGGGAAGAAAAGATACAGGAAACGCAGAGACCAATACCAAAGTACTTTGAAGCAGGGAGTAGAAAAAGAGGACGCAAGCGGCAGAAGATGAGGGACTAGAGGAGAATAGTAAAAGGCATGAATGTGGTTAAGAGAGATATAAAAGCCTGAAGGAAGCGATACTTCTGTGATAAAAAGTGCCACAGATCAGCTGAAGATTTAAGAAAATTATTTCATAATTTCTCCCATTCCTATCTTCATATTGTCAATTTAAAACTGGTGGAATCACAACCCCTGTGAGTTTTCATATAAAGAGCTGTTCTGGCAAAGTAGAGAGGAAAGTCATGCATCAGTTAAGTATCATAGCAGAAGAAAAGAAGAACAAGCAGGAAAGTAGGACAGAGATAGCAAGAAGGGAGGCAGAAAGAAGAGCGTTGGTTACTTGGACTGATCCATGGCAATCTTCTTGATCTTCAGACTGTAGTCAGAACAAATGGGTGAGATGGACAGACGGTCAAATGAGTGGTACTGCATCCTGTAGCTGGAGGGGATATGGAGAGACAAGGGACATGGATGACACAAAATGTAACGAGATAGAGGATGGTTTAAGATAAGAATATGGAGGGATGATAAACAAATGTCTCAGAAGAGTAAAGGTGTGTTTGAGAAAGGGGACAGAAAGTGTGTGAGTCAGATAACAGCAGCACATGTTCAGTGTCCCAGATGTCAGCACATGACCACATGGGAGAAACCTCCAGCACAAAAACACAGAGCTGGGTTTTTGTACATGTAAGTAGGTTTTATGCAGTGCATTTGCTCAGAGAGTTGACATCATCTTCTTTAATCTAGAAAAACTAATAAAAAAGAGGTCAGCACTTCGTCTGTCAGCCATTTGAGTCTTGTTCCAACACTAAACCAGCACAGAGTGTAAATTCACCTTTACCAACAATAATAGAGTTAGCTGATGACTTAGCACTCCACACTCATCCAAATATGCAAAGCTAAAACTGAGGCTTAAATACGGGTCAACAAACAATTGGATGTTTTCATGGTGGGCTGGACTTAAATTAAAACAATGGACAGAATTTAACCCAATGATAGAATCAGACAAGAAGTTAAAGGAAAAGTTGTATTGCAATAGATTCTCTGCCCGCGAATCACTGCAGAATTTCACAGTTTCATAGTAAATCCAGCCACTCATTAACGTGATATTTCTGTCTAGAACATAGAGGTAGACCCTTTTACTAGCATGGCTAAAAAGCACCAGTATAATAAAAAATTCCCCTTATAAACCTCCTATTGTAAAGTTCTTTTTTCTGGAGAACAAAGGAGAGGGG